GGGGGGGGGGGGGGGGGGTGCAGAAAATAAGGAAGATGTGTGGAGAAGAGAATATCTACGAGGGAAAACAGGTAACGCTTTGGCGGATTCACGGTAAAAGTGCCCATTTAAGAAAAAGAAAAAAAAAAGTCACCCCCCCAATTTCAAACTTGACGAGTTGCTCGTCTACAAACATGGCTACTGACACCACTGCCTGTAGATATTGAGCATAGAGTAGTCATAATATAATGAAGTGAGCTGGGGCCATATGTGGTTGACAAGTTCCAAGCTCCTTGAGCGCTGAGATTCGGTCACCCTTCTGATACATTTTCGATTCAAGATGGCAATGTAGAATACGTAGTAATTTATATCTTCTTTGCTTACATTGGATAGCACGGTTGAAAAGTATCAAAAGCATTCGTTTAGGTATCAAGGAAGTGACCCAGCGTGACACAGGAGTCATGGAATTCAGGACCTGCAAAATGCTTGAAAGTGGCGCCAGCTCTCCCATTCACATTATAACTCTATTGCCGGAATCACACGCTGAATTTGGCAGCTGAATATGGAAGTCCACAGTCATCGCTCGATGGCTGAAATTTCCAAAATTTGGGTGATTTTCGTCCAGAATTGTGTCAAATCTATTCGAATAGTTCAGACAGATACGACATTAAGCCAATGGTTGCTGAGCCTCGATGCTGAATTTTGCACGACACACGCAAAATTCAGGCATCAGGCCAATGACATCCACATTCAAGCAAAGACATTGAATTACATAGACCGTGCGTCCGGCTCAGTGGAATAAGGGCGAAGCGAGGCAAGTTTCTCAGAACTCCATGCCGGGCAGGCGGAAAGGGGGGAGAGACCGTGTGTCCCAAGCGCTCTAGGAGACTGCAGGAAAGCAATGGGGAATCCGCATATCCTCGGTTTCTCACTAATAACTCGTTTTGAGTCCATTTCTAGACAAGATTCTTAAGGATAAAAGTTGCAGAACATGAAAGTTTACAACTGAATTGCAAAGTTTCACTTTTCCGAACTAAATGCCAACCATGAAAGAAGCCTCTCAGTCTGACAAAAATTCACCGGGGCTGCTACTGCACAGATGTGCGCATTTGGGACACACAAACTCATCGCTGCGGGTCGGTGCTGACGCTCGTCAGCATGCAAATTTTTAAAAGTTGTCATGCTTTCCGTAACACAGGATGCATGGTCTGCGTGATTCAATGTTTTTGCATTCAAGCCATATTCAACTCCCACATTCAGCGTGTGATTCCAGCATATGTATTCTATGATACAGAGAGACAAATGTTCTTGCTTACCAACAGAATGGATCATAATACATGATCTTGAAAAAGTGCGTGACTTGGTTGAACAAAGATTTTTTTTTGTCTGACGGCCCGTACATCACAGACATCACAGGAGGAGGTATTATTAGTTGCGGTCTGATGGAAGTGACAGAGAAGTTCGAAGATCTGGAATCTGGAATAGATTGGGCAAGAATTTAGAGTTATTCACTGTATGAAGCGTGATGACAGGGAGCGCATGGCATAAAAGGCATACTGTTACTGATAAGAGTAAAGAAAACATAACCTGCACCAATAGTACAGGGTTGCTAAATTTCAATGAATTTACTCTGCCCCTCTGTCCATTTCAAAACAAATTGCACATGAAATCGCGGATGAAATTAAAAATTTTCATAATTTTTTTCACTTTGATTCCAAATTTTTTATTCTACATTACATATTTAATAATTTAATCAGTCAGCGACCGCTGCTCTGCTCTGCTCTCTCGTGTTGGTTTCGGAAATTTCCGCTGACGGAAGTTCTTACGTCATGAGTATGAGACGGAACCAAAAGAGAAAAACAAAACAATCAATTTTCCTTTTTGTGCTTGATTAGTTTTTTGTTATTGCGATAATAGTTGTCAGCGTTACGTCTAGTTCCCACTCAGTCTTCTTGCAGTATTTACGAGTTTCCGTAATCTTGAAAGTCTGTTTCCAGCGAAATTTGTGATGGCAACTGCTCAGCGTCCGACGAAACTGTCATTGAGAGCGATTTTCTTCGATTTGGACAACACCCTTATCCCTACCAAACATGGCGACAAAAAGGCTTGTGATCAGGTAAATTCCTGAATATTTCTCACATTTCGCCCGTTCATAAGTCAACCTTTGTCAAGGTCATGTACGGTCTTACTCACAGGCCTAAATTTTGTAGCTTTTGTAAAATGCTTTTATTTACATAGTACCACCTTTGAGGGGTACATCCGTTCAGCCCTCTCGGACCAATTTTGAGTCGGTGCCAGTTTTTCTAGTCGTAACCCAAGAATTTGATCTGCTGCCAGTCTGAGGGTTATTTTTAGACGTGTGAGATTATCTTTTCAGTGAAATTTCCTGGTAATTGGTTCCTGAACGAAACTCCCATGTGGGCGTCCCGTACCCTTATTGGATGTTTGTTGAACTTACTGAGTCATGCTTCCCCAAGCTGTGAAGTGCGTTTGAGTGTTTTTTCCCAAGCATAACTTTTTGAATCCTAGTGAAGTGTACATTAATTTTCTCTTGCTATGCGGTTGTAAATCCCTGTTTAACGATGGCTGCCATTCCAGACTCTGTGAAAAAGTGTGCTGCAATCCTTACTGCAGCAAAAAATGACACAGAAAAACTCGCAGCACTGTTCATGGTTACCAAACTTGTGAAAGGGGACTGTAGTAGTGCTGCTAAAAAACTTCTCTTTGAGGCCATTGGTTTTACTTTTCTGAAAAGGCTTCTAATTTCTGAATCTGTGCCAGATGACTGTCCCGCCCATATTTACAAATCGGTCGCATTATCTGTCTTATCAGCATTTTGCTCTGAGCCAGAACTAGCCACACATCCGGATTTTCTGTCCAACGTGTCAGTGTTTCTAGAAATTGTGAGCCAAATCGAGGATGAAGCAGAAGATGAAAATCTAATATTGATCACTGAGGCCTACGAGTGTCTTCAGAATATCGCAGCACATGATGCTGGTCAAAAAGCTCTCTTTGATGTCGGAGCAGTTGCAAAAATGTCAGAAATATACTCTCAGCTCTCTTTCCAAACAGACGCTGCTCTTAGCATCTTAGTGTCTATTGTTAATCGCTTTGGACCAGCAGCCTGGGGTGGTAATACTAAGGCTTTTCATGCTCTAGTTACAAAAATTGCCTTTGATTTTGAGACAGACCACTCAGAGAGAAAATTTGAATTGTGTGGGGTCTTGCACGCATTATTGTGGAATTGCCCCGAGTCAGAATCTCTTGCAGAAACTGAAGAGTTATGGCCTGGCAGTATCTACAAAGGATTGAAAGATATTCTAACAAGCAAGATCGGTAAAGCACAACGAGATCCTGCCCTCAAACTTGCTTCAGTCATGGTCAATCTGCTGGGAGCCGAATGGACAATCGTTGACCCAGAGAAGCCAAGGCAATTTTTTTTGCTTTTGGTTCAACTTTCATCAATTGAAGTCCGAATGCAACTTGAAGATCGAAAAATGGAGCAAGTTATGAAAGATGTAGACTTAGTAACTTCTTGTTTTCTTATCTTAGAAGTGTCTGTAGCTTTTGTCGCAGCAGATGCAATCGACTTGGAGCAAAAAGAAAAACAGCAGCTCTACACTGCATTAAAGGGAGCATTTTCAGCTGTTGTTGGACTCTTAGCAAAGATATCGAAAGATACAGCAAACTTCTCAAAAGGTTCTGTAGATAATAAACAAAAAGTCTTTGTCTGCGCAATGGTCCGTGTACTGTCTGCATGGCTTGCACAAGAAACCTCTGCTATGCGGAACCAAGTTTACGAGTTGTTGCCGTTTATGCTTGCTCTCGCTAATGAAACGTTCTATGCTTACCGAGAGAGGTATCTTTTGGAAAAAAAACATGCAGATGCCAAAACTGAGCTACTGGAGGACCCTGACCCATTAAGTAAAGTTGATGTTCTAAGGCTCATGCTACCCGCTCTCTGTCATCTAACCGTGGAAGACAAGAGCCGTCAGATAATGTTGTCTTTGAAGCAAGAAGAAGTTCTCTATGAAAGTTTCACGTTTCACTGGTCTATTGCTCACTACAAAAAGCCATTGTTGCCCAAGTCGGAGCGTTTAAAAGCTAGGCCTGTCGACCCAGTGCTTCCGCCAAAACTTCTAGAGGACATGAAAGACTCTCGAGCAGCACTCATCTCCATGTGTAACATCTTCATGAATTTCACAGTACTTGAAGCGAAAACAGTGGAAGAATCGACTTTGTTTTCTTCACTCATGCGATTCATCCTGGACAACCTTCCAGAGCTAAAGAATTCAGCAGAAAACTTGGTTTTACATGCCCACCTGGCTGTGCTAGGTTTGCTGTTACTGAAACAACAGTCAAAGCGGGTGAAAAAGAACGATTTTACAATTTGCCGCTACATCCAATCAACTATTCGATTTTTGTGGGATGCCTATAATGTGGATGAGTCAAATGACTCCGCTACCCTGGTTGTAGCTATGGCATACAAAAAACACTGGATCGAGCTGATGGAATTGTGGTTTTTAGGCATGCAAACCATGTCTGCAGTGATTGCTGAAGTGCCTTGGATCTCAGACTTTTGTCTAGACAGCGGCTGGGCACAAGGTATAATTGACACGCTCCGAAAAGTGAAGGTCGGGTCACTGCCTCCAAATATTAAGTCTGCGTACGAAGATTTCTTGTGTAGGTTGATAGATGCAAACCAGAGTGTTGCGTCTGAATTAAAAAAACATGATGCCTTGAGTGTGTGCCGCACACATCGATTTATGGAGTTAGGGAAAAAATTGTTTGGGGATTAAAGATTTCAGGATTTTCAGCGCTTCCTAACCTGCTTCCTAATATTTTCTTGCTCTAATTGTCTGCCTTTATAAAGACTGTAAATGAGGTATCAATGGAAAGAAGCATCTTCGGTGCTAGTCAGGCGGGAATTATTGTACGTTTGTGTACATGGTTTTTTTTTTTGTTTTGTTTTCCCATATCTTTCAATGGTCCAATACCATAATGAATTTTTACATTAAAAATGTAAACACATTGCATCCTTCACAACATGCAACCAGCCACAAAGATAGGGCCTTCAACTCACAAAAAATGTACTTAAATGGAAATATCAATCGGCTTATCGATGGTCTATGTGCAAAACCTTGTATCTCAATCGCAATGTTTCAAAATGACCATTTCTGTTTTATTATTTCGTAGAGAAACAAGCCAACTAGCTTTAAATTAATACGGAATACCCTGCTGATAGAGAAGAAAAATTAATAATTTTTTCAAGAAATTAGGTTGACGGGTCTCCCAAGGAAACATTTAAACAGATATGACAGGACTTATACAACGTTGGAAATAGGTACGTGGTTTCGCACTTTGGTCATCAATATGTGCCTGATTGGGATGGCTCTAGTCACATTCAGGCGAAGAAACATCCTGAAATTATTGTCTTTAGAGCACTCACAAGCAATTGGCAATTTTTGAGAACGACAGTTTAAAGAACGAATAGTAAATCAGCTGCCATATCATACTGAAACGACCCTTGTCTTTCCAAATGATTTCCAACACACTTTATGTGCAAAAGAAATTAGTAGATATTTTTAACGTGTCTAATATTGTTTCCCCACTAAAAATGGAAATTTAGTCATCTCATGACAAAATTTTTACGTCACTATCCAAGCATATTGCATGTGAATACAGAGGCCTTTTTTTCAAGACCAATCACAATTTTCTTACTTCTGAAACTAAAAGCAGTGAAGAAAATTCCTCAAATAAAAAATACAGCCGATATTTGCTTATTGTCGAATTGTAACGAAATATCTAAAAATTTAATGGAATCATTCATGTCAATGTTTTTAAACTCTCTTAGAATTCCAAATGGCTAGGGTAGGTATATCTAAAGTAATGCCTTGAAGTAAACGAAGATCTTCATGATCACAAATCTACTAGCTCAAAAAGAGGTTTCTAATGTAGCTTAGAATTCAGTGCGGAGCACCCTATAAAATCATGTTAAACTGAATATGAAAAACTTTCTAAGCCATTCGTTTCAAGCTTGCAATGCCCTCTTCATTCTAAAAAGGATGTATTTCACTGGAAAAAAAAAGAACTTTGTACACTTCTCAAGTGCGGTTGTTATGACTAACGATACCTTTATTAGAGTTTTTCCTTGTTGCAATGAAATGCTCCGTTATCTTGTAGGCACTTAGATTTTCTATTTTCTGAAGAATGTATCAACTTCTCCCAGAGACTCTTCATTCTTCAATCATTAACGATTTTTTACCATTTATCTTTTTTCAATTCGTTCTTACTCAGCCTGTCTTGTCTTACTTACTTTTGTTTTATCTCTCTTTTTTTTATTTCTTAAGATATGTTTTCCTTCTATCCTAAATTAACCTTTTCCGGTCTTTGAGTCTTGAATAATGGCACACAATTGCATCTGGTTACTTAATGAGCCACTAGGAAAAGTTAGAAGAAGAAAATTTTTTTTTTTTTTTATCTCCGCAAAATTCTATGTAGAAGACTAGTTACAAAACTGGGAGTTAGGAAATTAACTCCTGAACAAGACATTAACAAGTATTTTTAACACAGATCAAGTGGAAGTTAGATTATACGTATACATGGTGTCATTTGTAGTTTAGGCTATTTAATCAGTGTTAATTGTAAACACTTATATTTTGTTTAGGAGTTGATTTTCAGAATTCGCACTGTGTGATCCGTTTTCCTCATGAAATTTTGAAGGTCAAACATTTTGCGTAGTACTTTAATTTACACTTTGTCTAGTGGTACACATAAATTAATACTGACACCTGTAAGTCGGTCTAGTTCAATGCTGTTTATGAGCATCAAATTAAACTCTTGTCTTAGGAATAACCTTGTCTATTGTTCTAATGACTTATCCAACAATCCATTCTCCAGGTCATCTTTCTGTTTATTTCTTTATTTGTATTGATATATCTTTAGATTGTTGCCCTAGGTCTCCAAATTAAAACGCTGTCAGTTTAGGAAAGCTTACATACCTACTTAATTAAACTTATCTGATATTGTGTTAAGACATAAGAAACTTTGCGCTCAAGAATATCTGAATTTTATCTAGTTTTTGTAATGAAATTTCTGCGTTTATAATCTACCCACCGATAGTTTAATCTGAAAATTAATTGTGTATTTTAGCTCTAACTTGCTCCCTTAAAATCTATCAAAATACATATTATACTTCAGTGAACCTCTTGAGGTTTCATGAAAATGTACTTATTTTGTTTAGAATTTAAGACTAAGTAATTAGTGAACAGAGCTTTTAAATTTGATCAGGGTATAAGTAAGTACAATAGAATATGTAAACCTGCTGTGGAATGCCTGATAGTTTTGACGTACAAAGTAGGCACCTGGTAGCATAGCTCACAGTATTGATGCATATAATTTCTCATTTCAAAGTATATTTCTGTGTGTTACTTCTTAAACAAGTAAAATAATTCTAGAATAACTTGTGCTTAAACACACAAAAATTCTATAATTTTTTTTGTGATGAGTGCACAATAATTGTGTATTTATTTATATGTAAAAAAATATTTCATCTTGTAGGTTCTCGTATCATGAGAATGTAAGACAATACTTTAACACAAACATAACTAAGGGGCTTTGAGGACAAGAGGGATAAGTGCAATTTTTGCTATTTTAAGAAATACATGTTTAAAGTTTCAAAATCACAGAAAGCCTCATGGTGGAAAGAAAGTTCAAACTCGCTTTTTGAAACTTAGAACTTTAAATTTTAGCAGTCAATATTTTAAGACTAGTTTTAGTTGAAATCATTAATATCTCAATTTTTTTAAAAACTGAGCTTAAACCACTTGTCTTCCAAACCCCTTAATTCATGAATCAGCTTTTGGAGTGGTATTCAAAACTTAAAAGTATTAAGTAGATCCACATAATTTCACAAACATTTGAACAGTCTTTTTTAGGAAAATGTTTTGCAGTTTTCAAAGTCTCAAATGATGTTATAATTATGTTATATCAAATTTGGTCCAGATTACCTACTTATGTTAAGTCCAAAAGTACCTAATTATTATTTCTTGAGCCCACCTTGAAGCACTCAAATTTGAAATGAACTCTACTGTGGCATCAAATCTGTTGTTACCTACTTCCATTTACTTTGCCGAAGGTTTTTTCATTCAACTGAATTTTTCCTATAGTCTTACCTAAGTATGATGTAAAATCACTAGTCTCTTCAATCTCATATTTTATTTTAACTCTCCTACATTTTGAAAGTAAGATCAACAATTTTCAAATTAAAGCCTAAGATAACAGAAAGTAGGTCACTCTTGTAAATTAATTGCGAAAGAGATTCTGTACTAAAATTTCAATTTTTCAGTTGATTTCCTGAGAATGTAGCATTGCATTATCATAGCAACGTTGCAATACCAGTAGTTCCTTCCTTCAACTCACAACTTACTTTATTTCACTTTAATGTTCCCGTTGCAATACTGATTCCTCTAATTGTACTCTCTATTTTTTTCTCAATTCATATCTGGAGTTAATTGATCGCCTCACTTCTCTAAAACACACATCTAATCAGAAATTAACTTCCATTCAGTTGCTGGTCTTCTCTCGCTGGGAGAGGAACTGAAAAGTCTGGGCTTAGTTCTACACCCCTAAAAAACTAGTCGGAGAAAGATTATCTAGAGTACAGCTGCAGTCTTTAATGAAAGCCAGATGTTACACATTGATGCTATTGATGTAGTTAAAAACATAATATTATGGGCCCCTCCTCTGATTGGATGGCTCATTCCTGTAGTTTGCAAAGCGGGTTTTGTGCATTTTTTCATCGTATTTTCTGTCTACTAAGTAAATTTAGGTAGCGACTGATACCTTAATAACCTGTGTGGCTAGTTCTATGCAACTTTGATAACTTTTTTTGCATTTTTTCAAATGAGTTTGTGTTACTCTTGTTTAATGATGAATAAACTTATTTTTACGGATATTGACATTGATTCTAGTCATTGATAACATACCAAATAGAATACTAACATTGAACTGCTAAGAAAATAGCAGTAGCCCCTCTTAGCCCACCACAGATGGGTGTACCTAATGTTGTAGGTAGCAATGCTATGAATATCAAACCTCAGGAAACAGGCGATTCTTTCAGAAATTACTTAGAATCCCTTTTATGCAAAATAGAAGACCATTTCTCATATTGTTACGTTAAATGATCCATTGGTGTAAAAATTGGTGTTCTGGTGTTTTTGCTTTTTTATAATTTATTATAATAAAATAAAACTTTCACCACAATAAGTATTCCGTTTAATTAAGTTTCTGAATTCGATCTCAAATATACCAACGGTTAATAGTCTTCTTCAATGCTGCAAAAACTCAGGGCATTTTTAAATTGTGTCATCCCTATGTTGTAAAAAAAAAGGTAAATTCTAGAGAACTTTGTTTTGTATTTAGAAATATTTTGACTGGGGAGTAGCAGATAACAAAAAAAAATATTAATAAAATACAGAATTGTCTATTTTAAAGTACATTTTCTTCGAATGTATGAAGAAAATATGAAAAAGCAACACCAGGCTACTTATGACACTCAACGTATTATATCCAATCTCATCTTCACTTTTATTCTTCTCTGCAAAAAAGAGGTATTCCTGTTAGAGTGGCTGTGCTTCCTTGTCACTCATTTTTTTGTGAAGTTTGAAGGCGTAGAAAAACAATGTCCCTTTTTTTTAAATATCCGTGGCTTTTAAACAGATCAAAGTTTGTTTGGCATTTTCCCACTTCTTAACATTTTGAATGAAGACTTCTTTCCTCCCATCAAAGCTTGTAATAGAAAATTATTTTTACACAGGCCATTTCTCACTGTCACGACTCCTTAAGCACACAGTTTTAAGTTTATTAAAAGTTCAGTTCCTTTGCAGTCACAAATTTTTTGTCAAATTATGACACAATTTTTGTTCTATAAACTTGTAAGGAGCTGAAAATTCTTGAAATTGATTGAACGGTTTTGGAGGAAGACACTTTTGTGAAAGCATCTCAAAATCACTCGTCGGCGAAAGTAAATCACTGGAAGGGCTAAAAAACTTGGAGTCATCTACAAAATTTGCTGCCCTCCTCTATACAATATACAATTGATTTCTCCAGTAGCTGTCGAATTCAGACAAAATTTGAATGTACCATTCAAAATCTTGCTCTCACAGCTTTTCAGCAGTCAATTGATTTTTATGACCTAACCGACTACTTTCTCATGGAATTGTGATGTTTCATCACTGTCTTGAAAAATTCTGCTCTAGGTATACCTAGATGTATGTATTTGCAAAATCGAGTGTGTAGTTTTTTATTAGAAATAATTGAAACTATCAAAAGAAGAAGGGAGAAACTATATGTACCGCTTAAAAGATGAGGTTGTCCCCTTTTTAAATGGTTAATACATAACATTAGAATTTGAATCTCTGCTGGCCAAAAAATTGAATTTTCTGGTAATCATGTCCTTTCATCTTTTTCTTAAGTAATTTCAGTGAAATTATTTGAAGGGCCAACGATTGTTTCAAATTCTTGAGAAAATAATTCGTTTCAAAGTTGATGAAGTTATTTTACCTGTTGCACAGGGTTTTCTCACACCACATCAATTTATAATTGAGAAAACAGACACAAGAAAACTAAGTGTAGGTACCTGATGCAAACCTTTAAAAGGAAAAAAATCTAAAAAAAAAAATCAACTTGATTAAGAAGTGTCAAGAATATTTTTGAAGTGAAAGTGGATGAATTCAATCTTTGAGCGAGCGTTTGGTCGCCAAACCAAAATCAATTTACCATTAAATAGTCGGAAAAGAATGGAAGCCTACTCCTTGATTGACCTGCATGTATGATTTTTTAATGGTTGCACGTAATGAAAGAATCAAACAAAGAATTCATCAACACCTCCCAATGTGAAATGAAAGCTGAAATAGTGTACCTATTTCCATCGGAAAATAAATTAAAATAAAATTAAAATAGCCCGAAGCACTTAAAAAAGGAATATTAAAAAGTGAGTAAAGTATCGTAAAGTAGTACTAGAGTATATTTTGTCCTTCCTCTTATTCTGCAACCAATTTTGCGTTAAAAATCAGTGATAGTTTACTTCATTGGCACAATATAGGCAATGCTGACATTAAGTTATGGTGTGAGAGAGACAAGCAAAGAGCCCTCAGTTAGACGTCGAATGCGTCCATGTTACATACGCACAAATGAAGGCGTTTTGACTGTTCAGGCATTCACCACTTCAGAGGAGGTCACACAACTCGCACCCTGAAGTACAGAATGATGCTACATTTTTCATTGCCCGCGTAGATTTCCCGCCGCACGGCGCTCGTAAAGTGCAGCGGCCAATCAGCGTTGAGCGCGGTTTATTGCGATTGATGGAGCTCTCGTCGACCAGAAGGCGGGAAAAATTGGAATTTTTTTGAAATAGCCCACGGGACGGGAGAATCAAAGCTGCGTTTATTTATATTATAAACACTTCATTTCAGGAGAGGTCGCGGTGAGGCATCCATGGTAGGCGTTACTGTGAGGATTTAAAGTGGTAGAGCGCTTTTAATCTCTCTTTTTTACTACAAAAATATATCCTAGACACAATTAGTTGCACGCAGGCATGATGTCGATATCTTTTGTGCTTCAGCTTTGATATCGCATTGTGCTGAGCTTGATTTGTAGAGCAACAATTCATGTTTAAGGTCGCCTCTCCAAAGAAATACTACGAGAAAGTCAACGAAACCACTTTCTAAAACTCTATGTATTCCGTATTAACATCGATTTGAGCTTTTAATTTTTTCACATTTTGTATGACTCCTCTCCAATGCGGTCAGTGTTTGAAGTCAAAATGCCCATTGTGCCGATGAAATAAATCATTACTGATTTTTATCACGACATCCAAGAAAGGCATCATTTAAATGTTGCCGGTCCACGAAATCGCAGAAAAATAAGGTATTTGAGCAATATATGTACCCTGAGCCCTTTAATTTACAACAACGAGTCGTCCTTTGTTGGGATTCTGATTGTTTTTTCCCCCTCGGGAAAACTAATTTTGACGTTTGAATGCGAAATTTTCAAAGAACAATTCTAATGAATCGCACGTTTCAAACGAAAACGATGATCATTCGTCTTTCGAACACGACATGTATATGATTTCTACGGTGCAATTACGAAACTGTAGCACAATAAAGTCTGGTACATAAACATTAGCAAAAATTAGATCATGTGTTTTGCTCTTTCTCACCCGAAATTTAGGCTGCGAGCGTGGTTTCTTTTTTTACCCTCTTGCTCCCCTTGTCTTGAAACACTTTGGTACCCATCGTCGTACATTTCTCTCAGTTTTTTTTTACTTGTTCTAACCAGATTTTAAACTGGTGATCCACTCCCAGAAAGCCAAATTTATTTTGTCCTATGTTTCAGGAGCCTTTTAAAAGGTCCAAAGCTCGTCCGCCGAGGTAGTACCTATCTTTTTTTCATTCTAGTTATGGTTGAGTAGGGCAGCAAAATATTCCCAAGTGATCAAAGTGCATCAATTATTCACCTTTCATTGCTCCAATATCTATTTTTTTCTCTCTCATCTCTGAATGGTTATCAATTAATCAAGGAACTTTTTATTCATAAGGAACACATGAAAATCAAGTTCTGTAAAAGTTATTTCCATTGCAAATATTTATTATCCGAATAATCAAGACTTGCAAATCCAATTTCAGATCAAAGCAGGAGGCAATGGATGATTTTCCTAGGAGAAAAGTAAAAATGAAATCAATATATTTGCTTGCAATTTAAGTTGAGCACAAATACCTATATATTTATCATTATTTTATTTGAAAATTAAGTAAAATTGACAGTAATATTCCAACCCATTATCAAAGTACCTGATTAATTTAGACCGGATAAAATACCAAAATTTGTACATCAGTCTAGCTATCTGATCAGGATCAATTTTTTCTGAGTACCTACTTAATTTTTGGCTTAGTAATTTCTCATTACAATTTTGCACTTACTTGGTTTACTTCACATAATTGTTCCTTTCATTTTTTCTAATCAAGTCTCAACTTTCAAGATTTCAGCTACCTAATCAAATCAAAAGAGTGTTCATATCGGTTCATCTTGAACTTCCAATTTATTGATAACTTGCAACAAAAGTGTTAATCACTAAGGTTCATCAGAAATGATTCTATGATCAGGCATGTTTTGCTGCCCTCAATTTTTGAGGTTTTGGGATTGTAGATTATTAGTTTGATTTAAGGTCGAAAAACCCGCTAATATTTTGAAATTTCCTGCATCAAATGACTCTACGTTTTAGTTCCCCTGCAGCTTGTTGTTTTTGAAGCTACCCATGCCCAATATATTTTTAATTCAAGTGTATTGATGTTCATTATTTATTTTAAATAAATTATGAATGCGAGACTTGTTCTCTAGACTGATAAAAATAATAAAATGAAGCACCATGAAATGAATGAGAGATCAAATGAAATGGATTTAAAAGAGTTCAGAGTATTGCAGTAAGTCCCATTGTAGCCTAATGAGACACAACCTAGAGTTTTTGCTTTGCACTGTGCTCTTTTTTGGAAGCTATCGATGAATATAGACTTTCTTGCATCGTAGTTCAAGCACTAATGAATGAGTAAGGCGTCTAATTAGAATAAGAAATTTTTATCGGTCAACTTCAGCTAAGTACTGTGCATGCTTGCTAATTCAAAACTGAAGGAACCAAGGATTTCGTCAAATTAATGAGATATAGAGTTCTCGAAAGGGGCTCTGAAGGAAAGGACTACACACAATACTTACCAAGAAATTTGGCGCCAGCTATTTATATTATTTGATATGATGGTCCCTTACAACTTCAGTCCTGAGCACGAGAGCTTTTTGTAGGCTGGTGTGAATGCAATAAAAAAATGGCAACTACTCTCGCTAATCCCAGTAAGCTGTGTCAAAGCGAAGTCAGGTTCTTTCAGTTCTGAAATGCTAGTTTACAAATTCATAGCGTGTGCTCCTGATTTTGATTTTCAGAAGGTTACGACGGTACCACTATTTTGAATCACAGGTTTTAAATACCTTGTAGGTGCTCACAAATAGATAACCCGAAAGTCGTTTTTTTATGTTTTTACTAATTCTGATGTACTTTCTGAATTCATCTAGCGTTATGTCCTGTTCTAACTATTTCATAACCAAGAGTTTGCTTTTGTCATAGTTAATCAGCTGGCTTGTGCGGAACGACCACATGTCAAACAGTGATGCAGAAGAGATTGTCTACACGTACTTGCGCATCTTCCGAAAGTGCCCCCATAATCCAGAGGTGGAGCTCAACGCTTGGCGTCTGCAGCTATGGTCAAGTGCCCTCGGGGGACGTTACGAACATTTAAAAGGTAACTTTTCAACTCACCTACATGCTTATGCAGGCTTTTACAAATACGTACATTGTCCTTAGCCAGCATGACAAATATGTAATTTTTTGTACAGATTCTCAACGCTGACACTTGGATGAGTGGACTTTGGGCCTCCCCCGAATACGATCGTGATATATTTTGAAACCTGAGGCAATAGATTCAAAAATTAGACCATGCAGCATTGAATACTGCTGATATTTTAAAATTTTTCATGGTTCCAGGGGCTCTTCATTGGAATGTTTTTGAAGTAATTTCCTTTTGTTACTAAAATCTGAATCCGTCGAATAATTTATGAAATTAGGTTTTTCAAAATTACATAGTTTATTCCAAGTTTTTGGAAATGTTTCTTTCGACTTTTTTTCAAAGAATCAAGCATTTAAAATCATGAAAAGTAAATCTGCAATCAATTATGTCTTAAAAAATTGACAGCAAAAAAATTAAAATATTGCAGGTTCAAAGAGAGTTCGGAAATTTTTGAAAGTGAGAGAACTATAACCGGAATTTCCCATAGATTTTAGACAGTTGAATGGAAAATATTAGACACGTTTTGAATCACGGTTTTGGAAAGGCAATGAGATCACCATGAGATCAGAGAGATTATTCTTTAGCCGTTGAAAGGAGAGAGTTAGAATTGAAGTGTCCCTTGCAGAAAAATGTAGAACTTGTGGATGGATTATTGAGTCACCATGGTGGCAAAAATATTTCACTCATCCAAGTGTCTCCTTCTAAAATGAATGGTTGCAATTATCATCGTTAAATTGTTTTCCTCATCATCAAAATTCGAGTGCACTCCGAAACTTCGTCACTGCTTGAAGATCCCAATGGACTCCTCTACATGCTGTGATCATTCAAAGGTAATAATCATTCGCTCCATCTTTATTCTCAATTCTTAGCTCTTTGGTGCTTTTGCTCGTTAACATATTTAATTTTCATCTATCATCTCAAAGTTCATTTACATAACAGATTAAAAATTAAGGCAAAGTTTCGAAACTTCGACTTCTTTTCCTTCTAAAAGAATTGCATGTCCAATGGACAATATCGTCTCTTGACTTTTCCTCTTCAATGTACAAGGTTTACCTAACTAAGCGCGAAGAACATGAGGCGACGCTGGTCTGATAATCAGCATGTTAAGGCTTGGCCAATGATAAGCTATTTACCGTGTCTTTGGATAATGATTATTTCGGTACTTTTTCTCCTCAAATAGGTAATGTTACGAGCAGAGTACCACTAGTTTCGGCCCCTCCTATTCCTGATGAGAGATTGTCATTAAAAATAACAAAAGTCCTGTCTGTTTAAAATCCATTCAAATTATTTGCTTTATCCGCAATATAATTTTCACTCTTTCTCTCTTGAAGTGTCCTTTTATGAGGGAATGTATTTAGTAGAAAAGGGACTCTTCCCAGATTTTTAGCGTTTTATAAGGCTTATAGCAGAGAAAAACCAAAAAGACGGTGTTCATGGTGAGGATGTCTGAAATTCAGGTCCTGGAGAAAATTTAAAAAGTCAATGACCCCTTTTGATTGCGGGAAGTAGTTAAGTTAAGCGATTAATTAATTCAATTTTCATTTTTAATTTTAATTAATAATCAATTTAATCAATTGATTTTCTCATCACAATTGCTGCATTTCTAGTTTTTACTGTTTTATGAATCAAGCAAATATACTGGGAGGGATCATTTTTAAACTGTTTAATTTTCTTACTCAGGGATTCCGTAAGAAAATGTCACATTGTAAAAATTAAATGTAGTCAAACCTTTGTATCCGCAGGCTTCTCCTTTGACAATAGTTTTAGTCTACAGTAGTTTAAATTTTAAGTGTTCTCCTTGTAGAATGTGTTAATGGATTTATGAATATCAGTTAAGGTTCAGAACACGGCTCAATATAAATGAAAAATAAAAAACAAACAAATATTCCTTCTGTTGAATGTGATTCCAACCTGAGATATACAAAGTATAGGGGTTGTGTAGCTGATGCCCCAATGAAGGTGTGAGAGAAAGAACCACAATATGCTGAGTGCAGCTGTCCATCCTTAACAGGATTTGAATCTTATGTAGGTTCTGCATGTTTTAAACTTTTTTTAGAGGGCATTTATAAAAAAGTATCGCAAAGTGCCCAATTGATTCACTTCAAGCTCAGGAGTTTTATTCCAAGCGGATCAAAATTAGAGTCTCTCTTAACTTCTCAAAAATTTCAGATAACTACCGACAAAAATTTTGGTCCCTGCATTAAAAACAAAGTAAAGCCATTAATATAACTTTCATTGAAATACATGTCCTCAATATTACTTTCTTTCGACGTAGTTTTAAGTTTTAAATGTAGGGCAGCTTACTTCAAACATCATATAAAGTGGTGTTGAAAGAAGAAAAGCCTTTTATCATGCATGAGCGTAGCTTCAACGAGCAGGTTTCTCGGGAAAATAATTGCAAGGGAATGCATTTTAAATTGCATTGCACTGTGGATTTGATCCTTTTTTTGCGGTGTGTACTAATTTTCATGGGGGTCTAATATCCATCAATACAGAACATTAAACTTGCGGATGTGAAGGTTTGCTTGATCTCATTTTGTTGGCTGTGTCATCACACATGTGCAAGTAATTTTTTGTGAAGTTTCAGTGACCTATGCTTGTTAGGTACCTTGTTTACCGGTAATTTGGTAAGAATATTTACAGTCTTCTCAATTTTAATCTCTTCTCAATTAATTTCGTTTTTCTCTCATTAATTTATTCAGTTGACTCATGATGTACATGGATTCAAAGTTTCCCCGCTTAAACTATATGAATTTGATGTGGACAACTCTATGCAAAATGAAGTTATGTAAACTTTAATATTGGTGTCTATGGAGGGTGTAGATTGAAATTTAGGTAGTTTTTTTCTTTGAAAACGCTCTCCTTCCCTCAAGTTGTGAAAACAAGTCTCCAAATGCAGGAGTCATAGCAAGCTATAATTAGATTCTGATCCTTTAGAGGCTGCTTTGAATTTAGACGTCATTTAAGTAAAAATAAAGGATTAGCCACTCATTCATTTATCATCTCTCATCTTTAGAGTGTTGCTGAGTGCGTGTTGCTTCTTTTTTATCAATATTTACGAATATCTTGATTTATCTGTGGGGCAACTCAGCTGTTTGCATGTTCAATCATCTAGTGCATAACATGATTTTGTTATTATCATAAAAGCAAGACAGAGTTCGTTAATTTCCGAGTTCAGTAATACTTCAGTTATCCGATGAACTGCGGCAAAAGTCGGAGCTAGACACCAAAAATGCCGGATAATCGAAAATGCATTAAACCACTTGATGTGCATTAAAGGAAAACAAGAAAAAAATAAGAAATTAAGGCTTAAACGTACCTCATACTCACATTGGATAACTAGAATGCTGGAAAAGTGATGAGCAGGTTATTGAAATATTACTGTAGTCATGAGGCCTTTAAAAGAAGAAATTCATTTATTTTATTTTTATTTTGTAATTAAATAAAGCTTCACAAATTTCTGATGCAAGTGTATTCATCTACCCATCCAAGGAAAACTATTCCAAATGACTGTAGTTATATTTCATGTACTAAGGGTATTCCAAAAACCATTGATGAACATCTTAAACCATGAAAGTTTAAAGAATTTAGCAATAAAAGTAAAATTTTCTGGGTTGAACAACTATTCGGAAGGATCAAGCTCTGAATGGGTATCCTGGTGTGTTGTCCATCCCATCCCTTATCCTGTTTTCACTTTCATGTTCAAACTTGTTGTTTTCCTTGTAATAGTGCTACCAGTGCTGGTAAGCTGATCAGCTAAAGTGGCAGATTTCTCTAATTTTAATTCTAACGAAAATCGATCAGGTTTGCTTGTGTATGTTTTTTGGAAATAGCTTCAATCGTAATGAAGAAACAGGTCGCTACTCAAGTTACAATGACATCTGCCAGTATGAGTTCCAATTCTTGATGGTGCATACATACAGTTTCCAATTGAATAATTCAACATTTCTCCTTGCTTTGACTCAAAATCCAACCAATTTTCAGCAAAGACGATTGTCAGAATAAAATAGTCTATGTACAACATGAATCAACTGTCTTTTGTCTCCAATATTCCACAGTTTTTATGTGTCTTGAAACAGTGGGTTTCGAACTAAAGATCAGTGTCCGCCCTACAACCCTAGTCTTCAAGGATAGGTAGTAAAAATAATGGGTCAGTAAGAAGTCGTCAATAAGTAGTTATAAATAAATTTTGAGACCAATGTAAACAATCTGAAATTATTTTACAGCTTAAGTATAGCAAAATCATGAATGAAAATGAGATAAAAAATTGCAAGGTCAATGTGTGGTTTTTACTTTTTTGTAAAATTTAAAAAAAATAAATAAAAATAAAATGAAATTATGGAGGGACATTTCTTTCTTTTATAAAAAATGGGATGCCCTCGACCATTTTGTGAAGCTTATATAATTATTGACCCCCCCCCTTTTTCGTCTCTCTCTCTCTTTCTCTTTGTTTTTTTATGTCTAATATTTTTAGATTTAAAATTTCAATTTTCCATCACTAAGAAATATTAACGTTATCAATGTTACAAACTTGAGGCAGAGAAAGGCTTTCTGGAAAAAAATCAGGCTGTTTCGGTATGATTATAATGTCGGCATAAGTATTTTTCCAAAGTTCAATAGTTCTTAACAATATTTCAAGCAGGGCTTCATGATTAAGTTTCGAAAAAACTGAGGGACCATCAATGCTTTTGAAGTCCCTTCATTGGCTAGAGCTGTAGTTTTGAGTTGTTGGCATCCACTTGATTTGTTCGGAATTTGATTATGTAACAAAACGTCTTAATTTTAGACCCCAAATTGCCCTGAATGTTCATGATGATTGCTAATTTTTTTTAATAACGAAGAGAAGAAACAAACTTATTCTCTGTAGGGGCAGATCTCTAGATATTTTTTCTTGGAATTCAGTTCGAAACCCACTGCTTTAGTTAATTGTGCAAAGCTTTTGAAGCCGTTGTCGGTACATGTGCGTAATATTTCTTCTTTTCAGACTTTTTTTGTTTTTGTGTACTATAATAATTCCGGTCGCTGCACCGGACGGAAATGTAAGCATAAAATTTTTCTGGCCCGCCACGTCACGCCACGTGCATCCGGCTTCGTTTCTCCCCCTTGCGCCGTAAGTCACCTTCAATCTACTTTTGATTCTTTACGGATAGTTCTCCTACTTGTGTGTATCATCGGCGCCGGTGGGCTGTGATGCCAGTATCTCCGATCTTCATGAATCAAAGCTTGGAATGCATCTTAAGAATCTTCCTCTTTCCCAGTTGATTTGCTATCGTACTTGGCCTAGTAACGACCTTTATGTATTTGGCTTTTGCACTTGCTGCAGATGATTTATATCATCTTATGCTCGGATCTCCAAGAAGATGACACTGTTTTGGATTATGTGTGATCTTTTTTGTATAGAGGGAGATTCAAAATTTCTCCTCTCTTTAATGAACACTTGTTTTGAAATCTCCTCTAATCGATGCCCAACTTTTGACTGAATGTCAAATCAGATAAAATTCTTCAAAATTGGTGCAGCATTTGCATAAGAGATTCTTCATGCAAGTATTGAATTAATAGTCATACTTTACTCTAAATAGCAATCAAATCTCAATCCAGTTGGATGAAGTGTTCATTTATGTCTAAGCCTTACAAGAAGCAAAGGATTATGAAATTTGTAATTTTATTTTTATTTCATTGAATTGCACTAAAGGATTAAAAAGAAGTAAAATCAGAGAAGTCACCAGTCAATTTTTCTGCCAGGATCTCTTGTGAGGGATACTTTGACGATGAGTTAATAAGTTTTCTTTTCTCAACCATTTTGTGCAATTTTACATGATTTTGAACACAAATTTCTAAATTCTTTGCTTTGAGTAGATCTCCAGCATATTCATTAAAATCGGAGTATTGCCATCGCAACCCACTTTTCAGGCAGCCTGTTTCATTTTACTATTCACACACTAACATTGCAATTTTTCCCTTTGCAGATGCAATTTACCAGCAGTGGCTGCGGTTACGTTTCCACTTTTTAGCACTAACGTCAGAAGTTGTGGATCTCCTGATTCAACTGCGTTCTTCATACCTTCTTGTCTTGATCACCAATGGTACATCACCGTCGCAATGGGAAAAAGTTGATCGCCTGAATTTGCGGAGATACTTTGATGGGATTTTTGTCTCTGGTGATCTGCCCTGGGAGAAACCACATCCCAGTATCTTCTTTGAGGTAAGGACGAGCATTAGTTTGAACATTCATAAGGAATGAGACCGCAGTGCAGTTAAATTTTAATTGTAATTATTCAGCTTCAGTCCTGTATTTCTCAAAATTATGAACATGTCAATCGAATTGAATTTACCAAAAGAGCCTAGTTTTTCTGGCTTACCTATTAAAACACTTACCTGCACAGGAAAACTCATGGCACATACATTATTTCTATATTTAGCCAAAAAACTCAATCCCCATCAGTTCAGCATGGTCCAAATTTCACTTCATTCCTTCTTCCTCTCGCTCAAAAATCAATAGCAAAACTTTGTCCTCTCATATTTTAGTCTGTAACATCGCAGATTTCCCTTTACAATTTTAATGATCACTGTGCAAAATTTCGTGTAATCTTTCCGCACCTTTTCAAAAACGTTCTCTGAAATTTTTGTCCAGAAACGTTCTCTGAAATTTTTGTTCGAAAACGTTCTCTGAAATTTTTGTCCAAAAATGTTCTCTGAAATTTTTGTCCAAATATGTCCAATACTGCTCTTTGAAGAGAAAATATTTTGAACTACTTCAATGGAGGTACACATTTATCTAGTTTACTTTAGTGAATACATCACACTCCAATTTAACTTTCATTTTCAGGCATGCCAGTTCTTGGGCGTGGAGCCTCACGAGTGTATAATGATTGGTGATAAAATGGAGACGGACATCCTAGGAGGAGTAAAAGCAGGTCTTGCGGCAACATTCCTGATCCAAACATCTCAGACTCAACCCGCTACTGAAGTAAAACCCGACCATGTCTTGTCTTCTGTTATGGAATTAACCCATTTCTTGCCGAAGCGGCCTCTGATGAAACGGCCAACCTTGCCACTAGTTTCTGATGAAGATACAAACAGTAACAGTAGCGATGGGAGCTGATATGTCAGCTTGATGAGCACTGTTTGGAAGTGGCCTGTAATGGAACAGTATGTGGAGTTTAGGAAGTTGACCAAACTGGATAGTCCAGAGGCATTTTTTAGGAATTTTTTTAATTCTCTAGGCAGCAATCTATGCAACAATATATTTATCTTGAAATAAGCAAAAAATCCATGTGGAGAGGATTGATGACTTGAGCCTTTATCAGCTCTCCTAATTACCCCCAAGATTTGAGCAAATTAAAAATGAGAAACTAGATACTTTTCGCTGCACATCATGTTTTTGAAAACGGATGGTGTAAGCATTCAAGGCTTTGAAGATTAACACTTCTCAATTTCTAAAGTATGTTAATACTCGTGTATTGAATTTCTGAGGAATTACTTAGTAAATAGTTTGTACTGGAAATCCGTTTTGACAACACTTTCAAGTGTTTGGTCTCTGTTTTTCATCTTTTCCTCAGTTAAAATGTTGATTATTAAAAAGGCCTAAGTAATAGTTTCTTGAAAATACAGGAGGCTATGGCAAACAAAGGAAACCAAAGCTCCATAGTTCTTAATACTGAAGCTATTTTAAAAACAAACAGTTGAATTAATATGGGTTCAATGTATCTACAGGCAGATATGCTGCTAACTATTCTTTAAACAAGGGATAATATAGATCCTTCAGATATCTATCTTTCAAATTCTAACTTTGAAACTCAGAAATCTCATCTTAATATATGACAGTTTCAATTTTGAAAACATTGTCACAACGTATTTTACGCTTGAATGTTTTATTATGTAAATTTTCTTTTTTCTTCAAAACATGATTCAACAAGTAAATTGTCAAGTATCGATCTTTCAAAATATTCTTGACCTGAAATGTTTTTTTCTCTGTAGGATTATTATATTTTCAGCTGAGAAACTAATCAAAACTCCAATGAGTGAGAATCCAATTATCTAAATAAGGAAGTGTAAACATCTAAGCCTACACTCTCTGCTAATTTAGTTGCCATCTAGGTCTGCTGAGAAATCCAGCATTTAATGGACGACTAAATGTTTTTTCTTTTTCTTTTTCTTTTTTAGTGCATAATTTCTCGTGTACAACATTTTCTTTTAAAATAATTGTATAAGTAGCCTTAGCTTATCAGATACCAGAGGAATTTGCCTGGTTTTTATTTCCTCTTCTTTTTTTTCTTTAATGCTTTTTTATTATTTTGTACTTGTCGTATCTCTATGTAGCCTCCTCTGTTTTTTACCTGTGACCTCATTATTTTTAGAATTGGTTGAGGTTTACAAGGCAGAAAAACTGACAGGTTATTTATTAATTTTACTTACAGCTGATGAATATAGAAAGTTTTTCTATACCAATGATGCAATGTTCGAGCATCAAATTGTGCCTCTATTTATAACTGCGCTGTAATTTTGATTGAATGTGACCATGTAGTAGTTATACTAGAATTAAACACCTCGCTAATATTTCTCTCTACAAATTCAGGAACAAAGGAACTCTTTTTCCTAAGCTCTTAGATTGGTTGGAAATTGACATTTTGATCTAGATGTAGGTCAAAGAAAGCAGAAAAAAGGCTCCTCTAAAAGTAAACTTATCCGTCATTGAGACCTCAATTCACTTTCATTATCCTAAGCTATAGCCAAAGAATACCATACCATTGAAATATAATGAATGGCAATCCTTTTTGCGATTGAGTTCCATTATTTCCAGTCAAAGCTTGTTATCCTCTGTTAGGGTGAAGCTGTCTGTAAAGAGTTAAAAATTTCAACCAAAGGTAATAATTTATTTATTTTTCCTCCTTTAATTGCCATGCAGCTCTGCATCTTTAATTTGAAACGGGTAGAATAGAACATGATATTTTTAAAAAAGTATGGAACTAAGAACCTCCTACATTTCAATATTTCTTAAAAATTTAACCAAGATGCTCTTCAAGAACAAGGGCCCTCTACTCTGTTGGTCACTTGGAAATCTTTAGATTACGTTACCATTTAAACGATCCTGTGCCGAATACTTTCCCTGCAGCTTTGTTCACTGGGTATTATGTTATGAATCTCTACAGTTTAGTGCATCATGTACCATCAGGGAATTTTATTTAGATCATGAACAAAACAAATGCAGATTTTTACAAAATTGAAGTTGAGGGGGAACAAAAAAAAGGAGTACAACAGTGCAGTCATGCAATCCCTATTTTTCATGAGTGACTGTAAATGGAATAAGTTTAGATCATTTAACTATAATGATAATCTTACATTCACCTTGTTTCATTAATTTCTGTATGCTTTTTTGTTTCTTTGACAGTGTTTTTTTTTTTTTTCTCTCTCACTTAGTTTTGACATGGCTCAGAGTAATGTTTTATTTTCTCTCATGTCAGAAACTCGAGTTTCTATTTTGAGTTGAAGAAGTTTGAATGGAGCTAGAACGAAGAAGTGATAGTGTCAAGAAACATTAAACAAGAAGACAAGTCAAACAGTTTTAATATGAAATTGCAGATTAATAGTGAACTTTGAGTTAATTTTTTCATTTTAGTGATCCTTTTAGGAAACATTTACTCGATTCGAATATAATCCTGAAAATCTCTTGTTAAAAAGATACAAGTAGCAATCAATGTTACTCATTTGCTAGTATTGCCAAAGTGAAACATTTTTTGAATACCAAAATTGTTGTCTCTCTAAGTATGGAAAAATACAGAACCTCGATCACTTTTTCTTTAATTTTCCAGAATCACAGGAACTGATGTTCTTTATATATTTTAATAAAGTTTAGATATTAGGGATATCCCAAGAGATGACTATTCTATGATGAAATTCCTGTAATTCAGAATGATGAAATACAATTCTCAAGGTCAGGTTGTTTCGTGTAAATTCCATTTCTTTTACTTTTTAGTGTAAGTTTAATATTTATTGTTATTTATTTATTTATTTATTTTAGAAGGGTTTATCAATTAACTTCAACTTAACCATCTTCCTCCTCACTGCAATGGACAAATATGGGTGTTATTGACTGAGATTACTGAGTTAAGCTAGTGATTTTGGCAGGTTCTGTCACTTTCTAGGCAAACACATTTTTTGCGCTTTAGATTATTTACTAAAAGCTCTGTAGAAACTAATGTTTTAGTTTTACCTTACAAAATTATTTTGAATAGCCATCAAAAGTGGTGCTGGTGTAGTGGTCTTGCTTGTATCGGTAAGCAGAGATTAGTGTCTGGTGGCATTATTGCCTAATCGATCCATGCTACCCGCTAATTCTGTGGTTTTTTTTTTTTTTTTTTTTTTTTTTTTTTTTATACGAAGGTGAGACTTTGATTGCAATTAGAAATTCCAGAAAATGAGGTTCACCCCAACTCAGCATAATTTGTCATTACGTTAAAACATATAACTCTGAATTCAAAAATTAACACTCTGCTTTGAAAATTTCATTGATTAGAGCATTCCAAGAGGAAATGAGCAAGGCTGTGCAGCACCAAGAAAAGACGTCTCTGTAAGCTTTTTGATGTATAATTTTCACCAGTGCTGTGAGGGAGGAACAGAAAGGTTAATTTTGAAGACTTTTTAAATCTACCTTATTTGTACTGGTGACAAGTACCTGATATTGTACGTTAGGGTAACTTTAAGATCGCTTCTAGTGTTTTGAGTTGTTATTAAATTGCTCTTGATGTAATTTTTCATAACCTGATATTGTAGTTCCTCTTGTTAATTTTTTTTAAAGTCCTTTTTGTTTGTAATCTGTCTTCTTCAAGATTATATTTATGCTTTATTTAATTTTTATTGTTTCTCTTGAGGTCCCTTTTTAATTATCTCTTCTTCACTTTTTTGGGAACCACAAAGAAATGTTAAATTAACTGCTCCTTTCTTTCTCCTTTGCCACAAGGTGGTATCGTAAACCACTTTGTGAAGGATGGATTTCCAGTGCTTTGAGAAGTCAGTATGTAACATCCTAGAGAAAAGCCATGAGCTTCCGTTCCCCATTTTTTACAAAGTAAATGTAATAATTGTTCTTTTTAGCGAACCCTTATTATAACAGCCTTTTTATTATTGCCTTGGAGAACTCCACATTCGGTCTTATTTTTATTTTTTGTCTTAATTCAGCTCAGGTTTCATGAAAGCACTGTAGATATTAATTTTGAATGTTGTAAAACTATGCTCCTGTCAATTATTCCTTTTACATTGGAAGATGCTTTTTTATCACTTAAAGAGGGATACTCGTACAAGGAGATGTATTCTACCCCATAGAACTCCTTTAATTTTTTCTTCTTCTTTTTTTGGTTTGTTTAAAAAATGACAATTAAAAGATATCTTGGTTCAAGGATGCCCCCCCCCCCCCCCCCGGCTTCATGCAATATGTTGTATAGAATCCCTTCAACCTCTGACTAGGCATAGTTATACAACGTGATGCACATGAGGGTGCTAGACATGTGAATTTATAGGTTGTGTCTAGATGTAATTTTTGAGGTTTAGTTTGTATATTCGACTGAAAGAGTTCTGAAGTGATATGAATGTGGTTTAATCTTAGTATTTATTGTTTTCATCTTGAAGCAGCTATATGTAGTTTTAGGCTCCGGTGGTTTTTCTCACAATTGTACATCAGCTGGAAAAAATGTCTTTTTTATTGCCTGATAAGTAAACCCAAAGTGAAATAAAATAGCTCTCAAATTATTTACTCAGACTTTCTCATTACCACTGTAAACCTTTAATTACCTATTGGGAAGGTGCTCTTTTCATATGCAATATCTCAATTTACTTTTCAACTTCAAAAGTATACCAGGGTTATATATAATTGGCATCCCTCTTCCAAAATGAAAACTGAAAGTAGGCAGATGAAAATCTGACAGCAGGTGTGGACATTGAAGTAAAAGCAACCCATCAAACCCTTCAATAACATTTTTAGATGCAATAGATTTTTTCTTAGATTTCACTCACCCCAACAGGCTACACACTGCTTTGCAGCTTTTTCACAGTCTGCTATTAACCATTCAATAGATATGGATTTATTTCTAATGGTAGGATTTAAAAAGTTTACAATATTGTTCCGATCCAAATTGTTAAAAACATATTACGGTGCCCAGAAATGGTCATAAATCAACATCTACCAAATAGTCGATGCCGATACAATTGACAAAATTTAATCAGTAAAAATCACTACAGCAAGGATGTATAAAGAAATAACAATTTTTATTCAAGTTTACTTCGTATTTTTTCACAAAGGAAAATACATTATATCCGTAATTTTTAAAATGACTAGTTTGAATATAAGTGATTAGAGAATATTTTCCTTACATTACGTGACTGTGTATGGTTTGAATAAATTGATGATTATTTAAAACTAAAGGAGCACAGAATCAAAGAATGAGATCTTTCATGAATAATATCCAATTCTTCATGGCAGGCAATGAGGCTGAGAATAAATGAATGGCATGCTTTGAAACCTGCAAAACTTTATTGCAATGCTTCAGCTTTTCATGTATTTTATGAGGTAAAAAAACTGACAGGGATATTCATTCCATGATTTCTTGACATTTTATGTCAAGAGAAGATAATCAAATTTTGGAATTTTTTTAGGGAACATGTCAACTGACATTCTTTGAAAAATTGAAACATATAAAGATGAAACCTAGACTTCCTCAAAAAGTTGAGCAGTTTATAAAGCAAGTCATTCGAATGTGACAAGAGTCAAGAAAATGAAGGATTTAGGAGTAAAATTAAAAAAAAAAAATGAGACACATGTACTACAGCATGAAGAGGTTCATTTTGTGTAGCAATAGGCAAAAATAAACACTCAAAAATAGACTTTTGATGCATTCCAAAGTTGAGAACAGAAGGAGTAAAAAAAAACAGTTGAGTTTTGAAACAATTTTGCTAGTGATAGTCTCTTTCAGTCATAATAATAAAATATTCTTTAGCCGGACTTTTTGGGGACAACAAGTAATATTCCCTACAAAGCAAAATATTTCATGTAGAGATACATACAGGCCTACGCTAATACCTACTGTATATAATAGTCTGTTGGTACTATTTTTTTGGGTTGATTGTATTTTATTTTGGAAATATGTACGGGCAAGCCCTTCATTTGCAATAAATATTTCATAACACAGGAAATGGAAAAACAAAACAGAACAAAAACGAGATACATGTAACAAAAAAAAGAATGAAAAAGACCATCTCGAGTAGGTAAAATAGATCAATTTGGACGACTTTTCGTAGATCATTTTTGAGATGTGACCTGCATAAGTGATGAATGCACTAGAATAATCCAATAGTTGACGTTTGAAGCAGCAATCCTGACAAGAATTTGAGGGGAAAATCTCTTTAGCCTCACTTAACCTGATATATAAAATTGGAAGACCTCTGTGTTGGAACAGATCCGCTAGCTCACAATAATGCACGGTTCGTTTCAAAGGGAAGTAAATGAAATTGTGTTGCCCACTCAAAATTCCTTCAGGATCTTGAAGTAGGATGCACACACAGTCATTTAAGCCTAAAATGAAAATATTCTGTCGAGCTCTTCGAAAATAAAATCGATTTTTGTGTTTTTGGCGCTAAAATGGCCTTCAAAAACGATCGATGATTTGATTGCGATGGGTTGTGCATATGTAAAATGGTACATGTGTAATGGACTCTACGTATTTTTGGACCAGGAATCGATTGAGCAGGGTCCTGAATCGGTCCGAAGCTTCATTGACCGAAAAATGGGCCTTTTTTTGGATTTTAGGGGTGCTTTGGGCCCATTTTCCCCCAATTTTGGTGTGAAAAAACCTGTACCGTCATGGGTAATGATTATCGGGTCATTTCGGGCGGACCATCGAATGCACATGGTCCCGAGACACTCCGGGGCTTCCGGAGTGATACAGGGTTTTCGAGATACAGGGGATCAAAGTCCCCGATTTTCACTCAATTCTGCAGGTATTTTAATGTTCAATTCCGACTATAAATTGTTTTCTGATTTAGATATCGAAGCGCATTTTGCGGTGGTTGATTCAGCTACGTGTGGTGGATTTTTCTACATATTTCACAAACCCTCACTTTGTTTTTTTTGTTTTTGGGGGGGGGGGGTGTCTTTTTCTGTACAGGGTGTGCACAAGGTATGGGTACTTGTTAATACCTCAAGAACGGTGGCAGATATTGACTTACGGTTTGGACGAAACTTCCTTGAATTAAAGTAGGTACATTTT